TAAGAATAGAACCAGAATTATTGTTTTATACATGCAGTGCTGCCTTATCATCAGAGTGCGTGGCTTGCTCCACTTTCATTGCAAAACTCCCTGCCCTCACCTCACAGTTCTATTAACTATATCTCTGGGCTTTTTCCACTAGGAATTTTTAATCCTTTACAGTCCATAAATGAGATCATATGGTTTTTATCTTTTTCTTTTTTGATTCACTTAATTTATCATGACTCCTAATTCCATTCAAATTGTAGCAAGCTGCATGATTTCATCTTTGCTGATAACTGAGTAGTATTCCACGGTATATATATACTACTCTTTCTTTAGCCACTCATCTGTTGTTGGGTACTTGAATTAATTTCTGATCTTGGCTATTCAAAATAATGCTGCAATGAACACAGGCATGCAACCTTAATTTTAGGTGAATGCTTTTGTGTTTGGGAGGTAGATGCCCAAGAGAGGAATTACAGAGTCAAAGAAAACTCTATCCTTTTATTTATTTTTTTGTATTTGTATTTTATATCTTACACCGGGGTGCTCACTCCTGGCTCTGCACTCAGGGGTCAGTCCTGGCAGGCTAGGGGACTATAAGGGAGAGACTAAGGACAGAACCTGGGCTGGATGTGTGCAAGGCAAGCATCCTACCCCGTGTACTATGACTCTGGTCCCAAAAATATTCTATTCGTAAGTTTTTGTTTGGGGGCTACACCAGCAGTACTCAGGACTTAGCTCCTCACCCCCTTTTTTTTTTCCCTTTTTGGGTCACACACAGCGATGCTCAGATGTTACTCCTGATTCTGCACTCAGGAATTACTCCCGGTGGTGCTGGGGGACCATATGGGATGCCAGGGATAGAACATGGGTCAGCCACATGCAAGGCAAATGCCCTACCAGCTGTACTATCGCTCCAGTCCCTTAACTCCTCACTCTTTGCTCAGGGATCACTATTGGCAGGCTACAGGGATCATATGGGATGCCAATACTTGAACCTAGGTTGGTTGCATCCTACCTGTTGTACTATCGCTCTGGTCCTTAATCTTTGAGGAGTCTTGAAACCATTTTCCAGAGAGGCTGAACTAAGCAAAAGTAACAGCAACAGGGGCTGGAGCGATAGTATAGCAGGTAGGGGGCTTGCCTTGTCTGCGGCCAACTTGGGTACAATGGCCAATTCGTGTTTAATCTTTGGCATCCCATGTGTTCCACCAAGTATCACCAGGAGTAATCCTTCAGCATGGCCAGGTGTGGCCCAAAAACCAAAAACAAAGCCCCAAGAACAGTAAGAATTCCTTTTGTGTTAAATCCCGCCAGTATTTTTTTTTTTTTTGGACTTTCAGTTACTGCTAGGTCTACACTCAGGAATTACATCTGGTGTTGCTCAGGGGAACATATGGGATGCATGGGATCAAATCTGGTTGGGGGAACTGAATGTGGGTCGGACATCTAACCCTGAACAGCCGCGTGTAAGGCAAGTTCCTTGCCTGCTATTCTATCCCTCCAGCCCTATTTATAAATGTTTAAAACAGGACATTTTGGGTTTTTTTTTTTTTTTTGAAGGTTAAAACAGTCTATTCTTGAAGCTGAAGAGATAATACAGTAGGTAAGGCTCTTGCCTTGCACATGGTCCGCCACGGTTCAACCCCTGAAACTCCATATAATCCTCCCAGCCTGTCTGGAGTAATCCTTGAGTGCAGACAAGGAATAATCCCTGAGCACTGTCAGGTGTGGCCACCGAAATAAAACAAAATTTTTAAAAAATAATAAAAGTGAAAAAGAAACAGGCCATTCACACTGAGTTATCTCACTCATTGTTGTTTTGATTTGCAGTTTCCTAATACTCTGTGATTTTTTTTTCCATTTGCTTGTTAGTCATTTTTAAGTCATCTTTGAGAAATTGTCTTTTCATCTTCTCTGCTCACTTAAAATAAAATTTTTTGTGTTGAGCAATAGTATGGCAGGTAGGGTGCTTAACTTGGACACAGCTATCCCAAATACCACATATGGTTCCTCAAGCCCTGCCAAAAGTGATCCCTGAGCAGAACCAGTCCTGAGCACAGCTGGGTATAACCCAAATATGTATAAAAATGTTCATACATCTTGGATATTAACCTACTGTTGTATAATGTGAGGATATATTCTCCCACTCCTGGGGTAGGTCTACTTAGGTTACAGTACAGAGTATTTTAGTTTGATGCAGTTCGATTTTTTATTTTTTGGGAGGGGGCACATTTGGCAATGCTCAGGGGTTACTCCTGACTTTGCACAGAGGAATCATTCCTGCCAGTTCTCGGGGGACCATATGGGATGCTGGGGATTAAACCTGGGTCGGTCTCTTGCAAGACAAATGCCCTATCCCCTGTACTATGGCTTCAGTTCCCATTTGTTTATTTCTAGTTTTGTTTTCTGTTTTACCAGTGGGGTCATATCATTTAAATCCACTGAGGTTAAGATCCTATAGTCTTGCCTATGTTTTCTTCAATATATTTTATAGTAAGATTTGATATTCAAATATTTAATTTATAATTAACCTTTGTGAGAGGTGTGAGGTAAGCATCTAACTGTTTTGTCATGTGTCTGTCTAGTTCCCCAACAGCATTTGTTAAGAAGCTCTCCTTGCTCCACTTCATGCTCCTGGACTCTGTTGTACATTAATTTCCCACAGATCTAAAAGCTTGTCTTTGGGATCTCAATCCTATTCTACTGATCTTATGGTCTATCTTTATTCCAATACCATCAAGTTTTTATTACTATACATTTGTAGTAAAGCCTGATGTCTGGGATTGAATGACTCCTATCATCTGTTTTCTGACTCTTGCTTTGGTTTGACACTCAGTAAACCTTGACCACTGCTGGGTGTTCAGTGCTCTGCCTTCCTCCTCACTCCTGCCCACAAAATGTGCATTGCCAGAATGTAATCATTAGGAAATATTTCACAAACCCAAACTGAGGGATAGTGTATTAGTACCCTGATCTGAAAGGATATAAAGACTCTCATTCAGAAGGTTATTTGCACCCCTATGTCCATAGCAGCATTATTCACAATAGCCAATATATGAAATTAATAATCTAAGTGCCCACTGTCACTGTCCTGTTGCTCATCGATTTGCTCGAGCGGGCCCAGTAACATTGTGAGACTTGTTGTTACTGTGTTTGGCATATCGAATACGTCACGGGTAGCTTGCCAGGCTTTGCCCTGCAGGAGAGATACTCTCAGTAGCTTGCCAGACTCTCCAAGAGGGGTGGAGGAATCGAACTCTGGTCTACCCGGTCAGTGCAAGGCAAACACCCTACCCGCTGTGCTATCGCTAAGTGCCCATTGACAGAAAATTTGATACTATATGCCTGCCATTTAAGATATAAAGTTGACTTTCACAGATAGATGGGATTTTTTGTTTTTGTTTATGGGAGCCACACCTGGGCTCAAGGGAAGAGGAAGGTACAGTGCTACACACCTTACCCACCAGTGTTTAGATAAATACCTGGCTTGGATCAGGATTGTGAAGTCAGCCGGCCCTAGGAGTAAGCATCAAGATAAGAAGTCCACTTGTTCTGAAGATTGAGAAATGGTCCCTACCATCCTAAATCAGAGGGAGTCCTGGACTTGGTAGGACATTTGTTTTACACGGAGCTGACTTAGGTTCTATTCCCGGCTTACCACGTTGTCCCTGGAGCACCACCAGGAGTAATTCCTGAGTGCAGAAGCAGAAGTAACCCCAGAGCATCACCGGGTATAAACTGAAACTGAAAGATAAAAAAAAAAAAAGTGAGCCCTAACTTCAGCACAATGTCTGGTTCTGTGCTTTCCCTCCCAGAAAAGAATGCCAGGAAATGAAATAATGAAGCAAGATAACTTTTATTGAGCAAAACTTACAATTGCGGGGCTGGAGCGACAGCACAGCGGGTAGGACGTTTGCCTTGCACGTGGCCGACCCGGGTTCGATTCCCAGCATCCCATATGGTCCCCCGAGCACTGCCAAGAGTGATTCCTTAGTGGAGAGCCAGGAGTAACCCCTGTGCATCACTGGGTGTAACCCAAAAAGCAAAAAACAAACAAACAAAAAACAATCGCCAGCATAGGAATCAGATGAATAGAAGGCACAAGTTTTTTTTTGCTCTGTTTTTGTGTTTATTGAAATGTCTGTGTTTTTTAACAAATACAAACTAAACATGAAAAACTACTTAACAGGAACCTATCAGTTCAAGGAAAGCACATCACTTGTGTTCTACACAACCATGTGACAATTCAAACTTCAATGATAGAGATAGGGCTGTAGATATTACATATCAAAATAAACTCTAAGGCCACAGCAGGTAGGGCATAGGCTTAATCCCTGGCAACCCTATGGTCCTCCCCACCCCCAACTCCAAACCGGCAAAGAATGCAGAGCCAGGAGTAAGCCTTGAGGACTGCCTGGTGTGGCCCCCAAACAAAAACAAACAAACAAGAGAAATTCCAAGGACTCTTTTATTCAGCTCACGACCGCTCTGGCAAGAGAACAGGATCTTTTTTTTTTTTTCCTCCAGGATCCCTGTTTAAAGACACAATTTGGGCTATTCCTACCTTCAAACCGTTGATCAAATCCTGCCTTTCTCACAGGCCTTGAAAACACAGAAAATAAGGAATACTCCAATGAATGAAGCACTCCAGGAGTCATCACAGATTAACAAGGGAAAGGATTTGAAAAATGAAACCCAGTCTGCAAACGCAAAATCAGCAACAAGATTCCATCTTGATTTCTTCTGTAAAAATCCGTTTTGGGGCCGGCGCAATAGCACAGAAGGTAGGGTGTTTGCCTCACACATGGCCACCCTTTTTCAATCCCTGACATCCCACATGGTTCCCCAAGCAACTCCAGGAGTAACCCTGAGCACCGCAGGGTGTGACCCGAAAAGAAATAAGTCAGTTTTTAAGAAAACGTCCTATAATATCGGGAGTGAGGGGTGCTAGGCTGTGACAGGGCAAATGCTAGCGTCAGGCCTGCTGCCATCTGCAAGGCAGGATTCCCCACTCACTGCCCAGGGGCTAGGTCCCCCTCCACCTCCAACTCACGCTGCTGCAACAGGGCCCTTTGGGGAGACCCTCGCTGGCCGAACCCCAGACCCTCAGGAGGGACGCCAGGGCCCCTGGGGCGCCAGTCCCCTTCGCGGGCCGCCCGGGGCTTCTTCTCCTGGACGTTCAGGCGCACGGCCCCACGCAACATGATGGGCCTTTTGCTAAGAACCTTCTGAACCGGCGCAGGGCTGTCGAACGCAACAAACCCAAAATTGGGCAACTCCCCGCGGCTGTGGATGCGCAGCTCCACCACACTGCCAAAAGTCTGGAACAAAGCCTGGAGCTCGGGCTTGTCCACGTCGTGCGGCAGGTTGCCTAGGAAGAGCTGGTGGCTGTCGGGGTGCCTGTCGGGGTGCCTCTTGGCTCTTCCGGGTTCCTTGGGACCTTGCCAGTTGGCCCCGCGGGGACTTGGCTGGACCTGCTTCTCCCTCCTGTCCTGCTGCCGCCTCTGAGGTGGAATCGGCGACTCAGGCTTGGTCTTGGGTCGGGGCTGGGCGGCCGGCTCTTTCACCACGTGGGGCGGGGTCCCGGTCACCGGCCCAAGTTTCTTGCAGATCACCGACGCCCATGACACTGGCCGCACGTCCTCCTGCGCCTCGGAGGCCAGGTCCGCGGGGACTGGATCTACCGGATTCGGGTCCGCGGGGGCTGGATCCACTGGGTCCGGCTCTGCTGGGGCCAGGTCCGCGGGGGCTGGAGCCGCGGGGGCCAGGTCTGTTGGGGCCAGGTCCGTGGGAGTCGGGTCCGCGGGGACCAGGTCCGCTGGGGCCAGGTCTGTGGGAGCTTGCGATGGGCTTCTCTGTGTGGCCTCGGGAACAGCTTCCTCTACGATGGCCTCAGGCTTCTCTTCACGGGGCTCCTCCTCTACTTCTTTCTTAGATTGTTCCTGAGTGTCTAAGCCATCAAAGACCTCATCCAGATACCTAAAGATGTCGTTGTGCAAGTAGAACTTCCCTTCAGCGGAGCCCTGGGGCGCCAGCACAAAGGTCTGCATGAAGCGCCTCAGCTCCTGGTTGTTGTTGGACAGCAAGCCCAGCACCTGCACCAGGACGCCTTCGCTCAGGGTGGCCTGGGCGTCCACGTGGAGGATCTCCACGTGACAGTCCATGAAGCTCTGAGACATCACCTTTCTGTGGATTTCCGCTTGGCCGTAGACCGCCGCCGCAGGTTTTCCATGGGAATCCAATCCTCCATGGACGTACGAGGAATTCTCGCCGTAAAATTTTTGCAGTGTTTCTGGAGCGCGCTTCAGTATCGTGTAATACTGGCTCACGAACTCCTGCCCGAACTGCAGGGCACTCAGCTTCTCCGACACCATCCTGTTGACCAGGTCAACCTGCGCAGCTGAACTGGGTAGCAAGGAGCAGGGTTCCTGGGTGAAGTGAAGCGAGAAGGAGACGCTCACAAGTGGGAAGCCACCACTCAGAAGGGAGGAGCTTTTATTTATACAGTTCTTTCAAATGGATTCCCCCATCCCCCCCGGAGTTTTGCATACAGTAATCTGGGCGTTGTCACTGAAAAGCCCTGGAAAGGCTTCTCCTAATCTTGTCCCTTGCAATTCGTAATCTGATACTTTTGGAGTTTCTCCTTTTCTAGGGGGTCCACCATATTCTGGGTGGGGCTTCGATTTCTGCATCTGGGTGTGTCTCAGCCTCTGCTCATCAGAGAGCTCAGGATTTATAAATCAAAGGGACATGGTTTTGGGAGCTGGAGTGACCAGGGTGGGTAGGTGTTTGCCTTGCACTCGGCCAACCTGGGTTCAATCCCCCGCATCCCAAATGGTCCCCCAAGCACCTCCAGGAGTAATTCTGGAGTGCAGAGCCAGGAGTAACCCCTGAGCATTGCTGGTGTGACCTCCCCCCTGAGCCCCCCCATTTTAAAAAAAGGGGGGGGCATGGTCTTCATGCCTTTGGGCTATGTCAAAACTACAAAGTCTAAACTTTTATTTTTATTTGCCAAAAGCATAGCACAAGGACTACCCTACCTGTACCCGAAACACTGGGATCAAATCCAGGCCCCAGAATGCAAGGCATGTGTTTGAACCCATTGAGCTATCTCTCTATCCCTGAAAGATGAAAACTGATGTGATTGTGTTAGGTGAACTAAGAAGTAAAAAACCTGAAAAACAATTGCTAAATGGTTTCCATTGTCATTATAAATAAGTAAAGAAACAAAGAGTGGGGCTGGAGAGATGGTACAGAGGGCTTGTGACTTGTGGCTGACCCTGGTTCTATTCCCAGAACTACGTATGTGGCACAAAAATACCCCCAAATGAAAGAAAGAAAACACTCAGCAAACCCAGGCTACTAGTTTATTAAAAAATATGATGGCTACCAGAGTGTAAGGGGCGGTAAGAAGGAGAAATTTGTAGAGGAAGTTTTTGTGGCAGAAAGGCGTTAAAACTTTGGTGCTGGATCTGTTGATACTTAAATCTATAGAAGTGGAAGTAAGAAGATAGCTCCAAAGACTGAAGTACATGCTTTACATGTGTGTGATAGGCCTGGGTTCAGTGCCTCGCCCTTCATTGGCCATTGAGCACTACCAAGAGTTACACAGATCACTGAGTTGGGAGTAGACCCTGAACACTACCAGGTGTGATCTCCTTACCCCACCAAAATAATGTAACGTGTTGACAGTTAAGAAAAAGTTGAGTGGCAGGAGTACACCAAGTAGGTCACAAGTCTTGCTTATTATGGATCTGTGTTTGAGCCCTGCCATCACATATGGTCCCCTACTAGCCAGGAGGAATTCCTGTTTGTAGAACCAGTGGTGACCAGCAATTGACTATTGCTGGGGTAACCCAAAATTTAAAACAAAACCCTGAAAGTCCAAAATTTAAAAAAATAAAAGAAAAAAATTGAGATACTTATTATTTCATATTGAAGGATATAGTAAATGTAATACATGATCTTATATTGAATCCTATAACTATGAAAAACACTATTAGAATATTGAATAAAATATAAGGATATTGAGGAGTAGATGGCAATTAGAAATAGGCATTAACTTACTTATTTTGATGATTCTATTGAGGCTGGAGTGATAGCACAGCGGTAGGGCGTTTGCCTTATGCACAGCCGGCCGGGCCGAGCCGGGTTCAATTTGTCCGCCCTTCTCAGAGAGCCCGCCAAGCTACCCAAAGTATCTCGCCCGCAGGGCAAAGCCTGGCAAGCTACCTGTGACATATTCGATATGCCAAACACAGTAACAACAAGTCTCAAAATGGAGATGTGTTACTGGGCCCACTCAAGCCAATCGATGAACAATGGGAGGGCAGTGCAGGCAGTGCTGATTCTATTGTGGTTCTGTAGGAAAATTACCACATTTGTAGGAATCACACTCCAAAGTATTTGTAGATAATAGGGCATCTTGGTTGAAATTTTCTTCCAAAGGGTCAGAGTGGGAGAGGAATTACTCATTTTTTTTGTTTGTTTGTTATTTGAGCCACACCTGTCTTTTCTCAGAGCTTACTCTTGGCTCTGTGCTCAGGGGTCACTCCTTGCAGGGTTGGCAACCATATGGAGTACTGGGGATCAAACCTGGGTCAGCTACATGCAAGGCATGCACCCTACCTGCTGTGCTATCAATCTGGCCCTCTGAAATTACTCTTCTTCTTCCCCTAAAAGCTAACCCTATGCAGTTCAAGAGAAAACTCACTAATGAGCATCATTATCAATCAGAAGCTTTTAATATATGTACAGGTGATTTTGTTCACGCAGTACATTTTCTGGCTTCAGCCTATTGGCATTGAGGACCTCAGAGAATCACTATTTGCTTTCTCTTCATTGATGCTGTGTTGCAAGCACAGGTGGTACATGCAATTTCTTGTATCAGTTGGACTTCTGACTGGGTTCCCACGGCTGGTTGTGGTGCTCACACACAGGGTCACAATGCTTGCCAGGAGTTACCTCATTTAGCTGTGGTGCTTGCACACATTCTGGGTATATTATGTGCACAACTTCTTTTTTTCTTTTTAAATCTGGGGGTTCTTGCCAGGACTCACCTCTCTGTTCTCTCGCTTGCATACAACTGGCTGCAATGGGCCTGAAATAGCTTGTGGGGCTGGGATCAGAGACAGCAGAGCTGCTTAGAGAGTGTTCAGCACCTCAAAATTGTGCCTTATCCTTGCCAGGGAGGTGTTTTAACCCAGATGTCATCTCCTGGCACCTCAAACTATCATGATTCAGCAGTGTGGTAAGACCCTACTTGTTGTCCACTCACTTTTTGTCCTCTTTATTAATCTTTCTTGCTAACAAAAAAGCAGATTTTATATAGATATAGTTATCTAGAACTTACCAATCTCCAAGAGGAAAATTTTTATTGATCTAAGCCTAAGTTCACCAAACTCTTTGGGCTACTGCCTTTTTTTTTTATGAGAAAAAACATCACTAAACATTCATCTCATCTCAAATTGTGCTTGGTAACTGCCCACCTGGATCATTCCAGTGCCTTCTACAGGTCAGTATGACCCACTTTGGTAAACACTGGTCCCTAGACCTGTCGTGATATAGGCATGATCATGTAGTATAATTTTAGCTGATGATTTATGAAAGCAGGTTTGTTGGACTAAACTTTTTTGGGAAAGGCATTTCCTTGCTAATAATAAAATGCCCACAGTATCAAATGTGATCATGTATACAGATGATATCTAGATTTGCATCAGCTTCCTTGCAACCATGAGAGATAAATCTGAGGATGAATGCCAAGACACTGGACTAGAGAGAGTTCAATGTGCTGCGTGCATTCTTTGCATGTGGGAGGCCTGGGTTTGATTCCCAGCACCACATAGTTCCCTGAGCACTGTAACATGTGAACTCATAGTACAGAGCTGGCCACATGTGAACCCATAGTACAGAGTGGTCCCCAAGCACCACCAATATGGCTTCAGAACAAAACAAAACAAAATACAAGAGACAGAAAGTAGGAAAAATAATTCTAAATCCCCAGAGAAGGAGAGAGAGTTTGTGAGAGAGAGTTTGTGAGAGAGTGAGAGAGTTTGTGTGTGTGTGTTGTGTGTGTGTATGTGTGTGTGTGTGTGAGAGAGAGAGAGAGAGAGAGAGAGAAGAAAAGTACCTGCCATGGTGGGGGGGGTGGGAAAGGGTAGGGGCCGTTGGCAGGGGAGAAACTGGGGACATTGGTGATGAAAAATGTACACTGGTGAAGGGACTGGTGTTGGAACGTTTTATGTCATAAACCCAATTATTAACAACGTTATAACCGTCTCTCATGGTGATTCAATTAAACAATTTGTTAAAAAAATTTTTTTACATTTTTTTTTCTTTTTACATCACATGCAGTGATGCTCAGGGATTACTCCTGGCACTGCACTCTGGAATTACACCTGGCAGTGCTTGGGGAACCATATAGAATGCTGGAGATTGATCACGGGTTGAACACAAGTCAGACACGTGCAAGCAAATTCCCTGCTTGCTATACTATCAGTCTAGCTCCTAAACAATTTTATTTTTAAATTAAAAAAAATTCTAAATCCTTGGGTTTTAGGAAATATCTTAAGTGGTAGAACAGATGCCTAGCATGTGTCAGGCCCTGAGTTTGATCCCTGGCACTGAATGCTTTCCTCTCCCCCTCAGTGTAATAGAGTATATAACCCTGGTGGTCCCCTAGCACCACAGCATGTGGGTCATATATTTATTTTTATTATTAATCTTATTGGGCTGGAGCGATAGCACAGCAGGTAGGGCGTTTGCCTTGCACACAGCCAACATGGCCAATCTGAGTTCGATTCCTCCGCCCCTCTCGGAGAGCCCAGCAAGCTACCGAGAGTATCTCACCCGCATGGCAAAACCTGGCAAGCTACCCGTGATGTATTCGATATGCCAAACACAGTAACAAGTCTCACAATGTTACTGGGCCCGCTCGAGCAAATCGAGGAACAACGGGAGGACGTGACCGTGACCATTAATCTTATTATCTCATTCTTACTTTGGACAAACCGGCAGGCTACTGAATGTAACCTGCCCACATGGCAGAATCTGGCAAACTCCCCGTGGCATACCTAATATGCCAAATACCAGTAACAAAGATGGGTCTCATTCTCCTAAATCTGAAAGAGCCTTGAATATGGCACTTTTTAAAAATCTCAGGGCTAGGACGAAGGCGACGTTACTGGGGCCTGCTTGAGGCAATCGACAAACAACAGGATGGTCGTGATCGTGATCATGATAATTAATTTTATAGTTTTTGAGTCACACCTGGCTCTGCACTCAAAATCACTCCTGGTAATACTCAGGGCACCATATGGAATATTGGGGAATGAACCTGGATCAGCCATGTTCAAGGGAAGCACCTTACCTGCTA